GAGGGCTCAGAAAATTATCTCAGTGCTTGCAAATTTGGCTGCATCAAAGCATCTTGGAGGTAAAGAAAGGGGGCATGAGAGTTGTAAGTGAGGGGATGCTCCAGCGGGAGAGGGAGTTAAGGACATGGACTGGTATCAGGGCTCAAAGTGGATATGGTTGCTTTTTCCAGAATTGATCCCCTGTGAGTGAGGTGGCTAGTGTAATGATGAACACTGTCCATAGTACTCTCAGTGGCTTCAGAGGCTGAGGCAGGAGGATCACAAATTCGAGGCCAGCCTCAGTAACTTAGTGAGACCTTAAGCAACTTAGTGAGACCCTGTCTCAAAATAAACAATAAAAAGGACTGGGGATGTAGCTAAATGGTAAAGCACCTCTTTGTTCAATCTACAGTACCCACCCCTCCAAAAAAGGAAACCAAGCATATCATTAGCAGGAGCTCTCAATAGCAGAGTCTGTTAGTTGACAAAACTGGACAGGGCAAGAGAAAGACCCAGTTTACACACCCACATAGATACATATCTAATTATATTAAGATCTCTGTCACCCTTGTTTCTCCTCTCTGAGCCCAAAGCTCAAGGAGTTAAGCAGTGGGAAAGGAGGAGGAATGTCTCAGAGCCAGAACTCATATCAACTTCTCTACCCTACACAGCCAGCATCACAATCTATTAGAGGAAAACAAGTTGATTGTATTAATGTCCAGCTTTGTATTCAAAGTTTTAAATTGGACAAGTGAATTTTCAATAACCAAAAAAAGTAGAAAGTTATGAAATGTTCCAAGTTCCATTAAATACAAGAATGAGCTTTAACATGTCATAGTTGGAAGCCTTATTTAAAATGAAAAATAAACTATTTCCTGCATATGCTCCTGTTGAGATGTTGTGAACAAGAAACCAAGCGATGAAATATGAATTTCAAGCCATACCACATATACTAAGGAGTCAGACAGCACTAACCTAAAAGCAAAACTTCATGGGCTTTTACTTTATTTAAATGTAAAATTTCACCTAGGTCCTCTGTTTAGAGAAACTGCATTCTTTCATCTTCCTCTTTGCTTTAACAAAGTAATGTTGTCTTCTCTCAGTTTGCAATCTACAATATGAACTTACCTAGCCCTTGGAAGAATATAAACTCAGGTTATCTCCTATTATGTTTCTGGAAAGTTCTTCTGAGAAAAGCAATATTTTAAAAAATTTCATCGAAGAAACATTATGCCCGGTGAATTCTATCTTTGAACCAAGTTAGATGCTTGGAAATATGCATATTTGACAATATAAATATGTCTTCTTTAAAAATCTGTATCAACTTCTTAGTTGTATTCTCAGGTCTCTTTGAATTTGTTATAAAAATTATCATATTAAATTTTTATACATTTATTGGTAAAAATATCACTGACATATTGGAATGTATTGATCAGTGTGACCCTCATATAAGCAATGTCTTTTTCAACTTAGTGACAGGAAATATTTTCCTGTGTTCCTTTCTTCTCAATAATGAGAATTATATAACTATCTTTGTTTCTTTTGTAATCCTTGCTGCCTGCAAGCTCAAAGCCAAATTTGTAGCTGTATCAGTGTCTCAAGCTGTAGAACATATTTGCATTTATACTATTTATTGAATTTCATTTCTACTTTATCAATTTATTGTATACTTTGGAGGAGTTTGTAAAGAGAGATGCAATGCCCAGAAAAATTATCCCCAGCATTATGAAGACAGTTATAGCAGTTGCAGAAATATCTTTTGGAAGAACTTAGAAAACAAATCCCATTTTATTTTATCTATCTATCTATTTATTTTTGTGTGCTGGTGATTGAAACCAGAGCCTTGTTCTTGAGAGGTAAGCACTCTACTAACTGAGCTATATTCCCAGCCCCTACAAATCCCATTTTAACTATGAATACCCCAAAAAAGGTGGGAGGAGTCAATGACAGAGTAGTGACAAGCTGGCTCTCCAGCAGCAGGTTTTTTGTTTTTTTGTTTTTTTCCTATTAGTACTGAGGTTTGAATAGGACCTCACATATTCTAGATAACATTTTACCCCTGAGCTACATCCATGGCCCTTTTTATTTTTAATTTTTTGACAGGATCTCGCTAACTTGTCCAGGCTGGCCTCAAATTTGCTATCATCCTGCCTCAGCCTCCTGAGTAGCAGGGATATGGGCCTGTGCCACCACATATGATTGTCCAGCAAGTTTTACATGATCTCTTCCTGCTGAGATAGAGGTTAACTAATGGTATTTATACCTCTTTGTTTTCTCAGCTTAAGCAAATGAAGGTGGATGGGTACCATCAGAACTATACACAGTAGGAAAGGATGGATCCAAAAATGACAACAGCTGTGTTTACCCAGGCATCTGGTTCATTTTCTAGTTTAAAAATGTTGGCCAATCTACATTGTACCTTAGTATTATGAAGACATAACCTAGGTATAACTTTAAGGGCTTCCATTAAATTAATCAGATTATTGTAGACATCTACGTATTACCAAGCATAAGAGAACTTGGTACAGGCTAGGGGATATTTAAACAATGATAAATATCATCCATGAGTAGCCACATTGGCACTATACTTCTGTAGCTTACAGCCATCAGATGTTCATTGCTATAAATTGCTAAGTGTAGGCAGAACTATGTAATAATTTGTTGGCAGATAAAAATTCTTGTGGTCAGTGGTTATTTTAATTGTTATGAAATGTAACATATCTATTGTGGGTTTCCAAGAGACATATCTACAAATATATTCTCAACTCTTTTTTCATTGTTGACGGAATGGCACAATCACAACTGAGTCATGCTCAGAGAGAAGGACAACTTTTTGAAAACATTTCCTTCATTCCATGGTTTAAGACAAAAGGATTGTGGAATGATTTCATAAAAATGAAAAAAAAATTAATGAAAGACAAAATTTTACTCTAAGACCTTTTTTTCCCCTCTTAGACACCAATTATTTTAAAATGACTCACTTTGTTTTTGTATCTTATAATTCCAAGAATAACTATCAAGGACTACCTAAATATGTAAAATGTTCCACACAGTGAATAATTCAGAATCTAATGTTATATTCCTTCTTCTTTCCCTGACATTTTTCAATTTTCTACTAAAATGTAAGCTACCATGAAATCTGATGATGTACACTGTAATGACTACTTGAGTGGCCTGAACAGAGGCCATTAGAATAGGAAGGACAGATATACTATCGATTATCTTTTTGTATCTTTAAATGGATATCCACTTACCCTCTGTTTACATACTTTTCATCTCTGGTTTTCTGAATTTCTTGAAGTTGTGACTTATACTTACAGGATATTAAAAAAAATACAAACAAAACCCTCTCATTTTCTAAATTACTAGGTATACATAAACTTATACATAAAATAAAAGACCTTGGGGACATACAGAGAATTTATTTGAATTGAGAATTTGCATTTTGTGAAAGGAGAAAAAGTAATGGGTTAGTATTGAAAGGGATAGAAGATCTTGTCCTAGAAGAAGGATACCACAAGTCTATGTTCAAAGTTATACTGAAGAAGAATCTGTTTTCCTTTGAAAGCAAGAACTTAATCAATATTTTAATACAATATGAATATAAAAGATAGTATTATTAATCCATATTAACATTTTATTGGAAGAAATTTAATTTTTAAAGGCTGTGTAAGAACAACTTAATCTCAAAATCTAGAAGTTTTCACTGTTATTATATTTTTATTTTTGACTAAGTTGTATTTTCCAAGTGAATAAAACAAGAATCTGATACTACTTTATTGAATAACTTCAAGTAAATAAATATGCATGCTGTTTACCAGTGTTAAGGGATCTATTGTCCCGAACATAAAGGGTCTATCTCTCCATCCCAAATTCAGTATGTCTAACATACAAGTTTCTTGGGTTATACTGGTAAAGAGTGATTCCAGTTCTTGGCAGCATGCTTCCACACTTTATCAGGAATCCCAACTCTTGCACCTGTCCAGGTGAGCCATTTGTTAAATGGATGTAGAGTGGAATTAAAACAGTATTTATTTGTTTCTTTATGTTGATTTTTAGACCTCACCAAACACACACATGCTTCCCTCTTTCCTTTCTACACAAATATTTGAGAGTCCATATATACTAGTAACAGGGTTCTTATCTGTTAACAATTCACTATCTTTTTGAATTGAGAAACAAATAAAAATTCTAGTACAATGAGTAAATATTAGTATACCATGAGAACATAAAGCAGAAGAATCTAATATGGTTTGGGGGGATTAAAGAAGACAATTTAAAGATCATACTTAAACACATAGACAGTTGTATACATGTATACACATGTATATAATATATATAAAATTTATATATATATGCATACATACATATGTATAATTTCCAAAAATAAGATAGTAGTGAGTTAGCTGATATGCCTTTCTGCAGTATGATGAAAGAAAAACACTAACTTAGGGGTTAATATTTGTGAATAACTGACTTCTCTAGAAGAAGGTTACCACATAATTTAAAGCTGTTAATGTGTTTCTAACCTCTAATGTGCTTTCAACAGCTGACTTATAGTTAATACCAAAGGAAAACTTTCATTACCTGCATGACAGAGTGGAGAACATGTCAGATTAGTTTAAAAGTTATTGGCATTAGTTCTAGTTTGGCAGTTCATTAACTATGTGGTTTTGACTAAGACATTTGATATAATTAAGCCTCAGTTTCTTTCCTGGAAACATGAGGATGCTGAGTAAAATTGTTTAAAAATTTTTTTATCATCTGACTTTTCTAAATATTTAGGCCTATGCTAAAATTTAAACTATCTTAAGACAATAGTCTTTAAATTCTTGCTCCTAGAAAGTGTTTATAAATTATTCTTGTTCTTACTTCCTACAAAATTTTTTTGTGTTACTCATCACATAAACCATCTCTGCCACACTGGCCAAGACTTGTCAGACTGGTTCTGTTTGGATCATCAGTGACTTCTTTCTTCACCTCAATCTAGCTTACAAAGTCACTGATAGAAGCTGGATGCACACATTTGATTGTAGACTAGTCTCTGTGGGAGTCTCCTTGCTGGTCAGCAATGTATAGGTGAGTTCCCTTTTCTTCTTGTCTTAAGGTAGGAAAAATGGTATAAACCATATCAAGGAAGGTATAGATCTCTAATTTATTATCTGTAACATATATAAAATGTAAAATATTTTTGAGATTTTACATAAGTCAAGAAATAGATGTCAATTCTCTCTTGATTAGTGTACCTGATCCTCTCATATCCTATCACAGTGTTTTCTGTTTACTCTCAGAAGGACTCTACAAAATGTAAAGGTATATGGTATTTGACAGTTGTCTTTCACTTTGTTCTAAGAAGAGTAGCATGTGCTTTAATTTGAACTTTATTTATCATACTGATAAAATACTCTTATTTCAGAAGGAATGCATTAGAAAAATATAAATGTAAAGACATAAAACCCAAAATTATGCTAATTTCTCTAAGTAGTTCAAAATATAAAAATTATAAATTTTTGAAATTTATAAGATGATTACATTACTAAATTATTATAGTCATATTTTATAAATAAACCCAACAAGTGCTTGACTACAATTAACTTCTCTATTGTTTTCTCTCAGAGTTAGCAACAAGGTTTGTGTATACCAATTTGGGCTAAAAATATCTCATATTCAGATTCAATTTTATTTTTTCTGACGTACAACTTTTGATTTACTTTGAGAAGAAAACCATTTGAAAAATATAAAACCTCCATTTGGAATCTGTTATCTTCATTAAATGGGGAAAATAGGGCCTGACATTGGGAGAGAGAATTTCAACATACTTTGTATGAGATGTTTAATTCTCTTTCATACCTGTCAATGAAGCAACTAAGAGCTATAGATATTACAAAAGTACTCAGATTTCTCAAGGCTTCCTGCTTTTTGCAATTATTTCTCCATATTCTATAATATTTTTGTATCCTACCTTCTTTCCTTCATTATCTTTAAAATTTTTATCATAGAAAACAGGAAAGCCTCTACCAAGCTCAACATACTAAACAGATCTAGGCCTTGTCTAAGTCAGCTTTGAGTAAGTCTGGATTTGATTCTAAATATTTAGAGAAGCCATAATAAAGGGGTATGGGAGTGAATTTTTCTAAGAGTAGTCTCTAATTTGAAATAAAGCATATGCTTACTTTTTAAAGTCCCTCTTCACAGTAGATAGAAGTTATCTCTCAAGGAAAAAAGACCAAAAACAGCTAACAAAACAAAAACCAAAAATGTCTTCCTGATCTGATGTTTTTGTAAGAAAAATAAAGCATGTCTGTTTGAGTGTGCCTACAAGAGATGAAGCATCTAGGGAATGAGCTAGAGTGAAAAGGGATCAAGTTTATTATACACATTTGTTGGACTAAATGTGCCAACAGGAATTCTCTGAAGAAAGAGGTATAATTGAAATGCAATTAGACATTTTCTTTTTAAGGACTTTGGTTCATATCTGGAAAGCACATCAGAAAAAGGCAGGGAATTGTATTAAATAGCACAATCTTTCCTCTTAAGTAAAATTTTGATAGCCTCTTCCCCTATTTCACCTAAATGAGAATCATATTTTTAAGAATTTAAGGGTAAGAAAAAAAACATTAGAGCAGGTAAACATTCATCTTATGTTGTTACTTTCCCCAAACACTTATTTTATGCTATTGTTTGGGCATGAAGCAATCAACACATGAACTTTATAAACATATATGCAATATGTGTATGTACACACACACACACACACACACACACACACACACACAGTCACACACACACACCAGAAGGCTAAAGAAAACTTTACTGGGAATAAGCTTATAGTGAAGAGGTTTATGAGAAAAAGAACATATTTACTGAAATGTATTTCTTAAATATATTTACTTGTAATGGATGTGTATGCTAAGTATGTTCACCTATAACCCCAAAACAAGATGAAGATAAGCAGATCAAATGTACAGGGATAACATCTATTTAAGTAGATGAAGGTGAAATGAGGACTATTCAAATGAAACAAAATATACTTTCATTTTTCTTAAGAATTAGCAAAGGCTGGCTTAAGTACCCCCCACATTCAACACAACGATTGCTTATTAAAAATAGTTGATGCCCAGCTCCCATTCCAAAAATTCTAATTACTCTCTAGTTGTGGCATGGGAATCATATTTCAATAATTTGCACTAGGTAATTCCTAGTTGACCTAAAGTTTGAGAAGAACAGGGATGGTGTAGATATAAAAAGGAAGAAACTTGTAAGGTTGAAAGAAATTTAAAAAGAAATGAAATAGCTCAGTGGTTAAATGAGGCATCCCTTTGTTTTATTTCAATTGCCATAATTATATCTTAATGGGAGAAGCTCTCTCCCTAGTCAGCTTTCCCTCTGAGGGAGAAGAGCATTCATTTATGCAACATAGTGATGATTAAGGAGGTGAGGGTTATTGCAGAAGGCACAGAAACTGAAGGGAGGACACGGATATTATTTGAGTAGTTGAGTCAAAAAGGGAGGCTGATCTTATTTGTATTTTAAAATCTGTATGTTTACAGGAAAAACTTCAGTGTAAAACGAATGTGTCAGTATTACTCCCTGAACTAATCAGGGTGGTGCTGAAGGGACTCTCTGTTAACAGACGGACCCAGAGTTGCTTCCTGGTTTAGTTTCAAATATTGAACCCAAACTCATTTATCTTTCAACTAAGATCAGTGCTGATTCAGATAACAACTTTTAGTGAGTTCTCATTCGTGGACTTCCATTGTGGATTTCGTGAAGTACTATTTCAGGCATGGTTATTGTTATCACTCTTTATTAAAGGATGAAGCGACTGTGGCTCCAATTGTACAGGCTGAGTAAGTGTTGGATTCAGAATGTGACCCGATCTTTGTGGTTTTAAAGTCTAGGCTCTTATCCCTGTAGCACATTGTCTACCATGTGCGGGAAACCAAAAGTAGGGCCTTTTGAAAATTTATACCAGAAGAGAGAAATGGACCATGTAAACACACACATGTGCATGAAGAAAATGTGACTGCATAAGCAAAGAAGTTGATATAAAGACTAATATGTGATTGTTCACATATATGCTGGGGGGCAGGAGGGTGGGATATAAATTTGCTTCCTTTTATAGGTTTTTAAGAATGCTTTGACTGCCTTAGTTAATTTTCTTAAAACTGTCTTTTTTTTATTTATTAAATAAGATGGGACCTAATTCTTCCATTCTATCTAAAAGATGACTGAGAGTAAGCACTTTGATTAGTGTTTTCTAAAAAAGGATTGCAACATTGGCTATATTGTGAAAATTGAGTTCATCTTAGTGTAGCATTTCTTAGAATGAATTCATTGGTCAGTAGTGACTGTGACTAACAGACCTTTGTTATTCTTTCATTGTTATTTTCCTATAAAATGTATTATTGCTTCAATGTGCAGAGGAGATAAATAGACATTCTCAAGAAAGATAGCACAGTATATGCCTAAAAATCAGCTCTGAGATTTTTTTTCCTCAGTAATTTTTGAAATTTTATTTGTTGGAGAGATGGAGGAGGTGAGTGATAAATAGGCAGTTATAAATAATAGTTCTAGACATTAGTATATGATTGGTTTAAAATATAAAACAAGGTACTAGTATAACAAATAACAAAAAGGGATGATCAACTTACAATATTAAAGAACTCACCCTTAGAAGGTAAAGTTTGAGCTCAGACTCAAACCTGAATGTCAAATGTTAAAAATAGATTATGTTAGGTCAAGAAATAAAAGCAGAAGTTTCCTGTCAGAGTAACGAAAGTGCTAAGGCAAGAATAAGCTAGACATATCCTAAGTACAGAACAAGGCTAGTGAAGCAGGAGCTCAGTAAGCACTCTTGATGACAACAGGTTCGAGAAGGAGGTGGGTTGAGAAGTTGTGGGGCTGGTCATCTGAGACAGTTTGTGGAAAACTGTGTCCCTGACTTCATGACTCTATCAGGGTTAGAGTCTGGAGGAATTGTGTTAAGAAGTTATTGAAGCACACTCCCTTGGACCTACTCTTATTGAATATACTAGATGAGAACTGTAAAGAAAGTTCTCACAGATTCTGGCATAATTTAATAGTTTGAGAATTGTGGATGAGAGAATGAGAGGGATTTAAGAGGTGAAGAAGGAGGAACAGGCTGCAGAGAGAGCCAATACCTTATGCCAGAACCTGCAAGCCCAACCTTCTTACAGGTACATATGTGGATGGATGAGTGAGTGATTTTTGAGATTTTTTTTTTTTTTAGAGTGGTAATTCTAAAATTAAAGCTAGTCTTAGAAGAATTCAAAGTACCATACAAGCATCATTAAATTCTATCTTGCAACCTTTCATCTGAAACTGTCAGATGATATCTCTTTTTTGAAGCTTCAAACACTAACACAGAAGGATTTAGCACTTTAAGTTGAAATGTGAGTCAGTGCAGGACCATGTAATAATAATAATTGCTATCTTTTGTTTCAAACATACTATGGGTCAACTACTGTCCTAGATCATCATGTGTGTTTAATCTTTATAACAACCTATGGGTATATTATTATACCTATTCAACAGATTAGGAAACTGAGGCTCAGCCAAATACCATTTTTGCTCGGGGATAATAAATGGCAGAACTAAGAATTAACCCAGGCCTATCTGACACATATATTCTTAATCACAATGCTGTACCAATCTCACAATCTCTCCTTTGTTTACATAGGTGGTTCTTATACTACTCTGGGTTAACTGTCTTATAGTGTTAAAAGATATCAAATTTATACTTTTTTTTTTTTGGTATTCAGGATTGAACCAAGGTGTGCTTTACTACTGAACTACATACCCAGTCCCTTTTACTTTTTATTTTGAGACAAGGTCTCATTAATTTCCTTAGGCCTTGCCGAGTTGCTGAGGCTGACCTCAAACTTGTGATCCTCCTTCTTGAGCACTGCCACACCCAGCTCAAATTTATGTTTTCAAAGAACAATATTATTTTTCAAAAAATAATCTTTGAGATTGACCTCTGAGGCTATTGGACAGGAAGAATTGCTATCTGTATTCTACAAGGAATGAAACACTCCAAGATCAGATAACTGACG